AGTGTGAAGATGTGGTCAATGCAGCCTCGACCAAGTCTGAAACCGACCTGGTTCTCACGCGTACACCGCTCACGTGCAGCAGACAATCGACGGAGTATGATACCGGCGAGAAGATTAGAGGCAATATTGATTAAACTAATTCCTCTGTGGTTTTCACAGGAGGATCTATCACCTTTCTTGTAAATTGGTATGATGACCGATTCACACCATTCAGTTGGAACCTCTTCCCTCTCCCACACTGAGCCCAGGAGTTTTGGTAACTCCGAAACCAAGGCTGAGCCTCCATTCTTAAAAACCGATGGGGACACTCATCGGGGCCAGAAGCCTTATGCCGTTTGAGGTAACTTATTTCCCGGGTAACCTCCATTTCAGATGGAGGACTGATGTCAGCGGGCAGTATTTGCACAGTTGGACCGAGTGAGGGGAAGTCTCGTGTCGGAGGGGACCAGCTGAACTGTGCCCAACGTTCAAGACGACGTCCCTGAATTTGAATCAGTGTGCCATCAGACTCCTAAATTACCTCGCTTACGCCTACTTTCCTTGGTCCTGTACTCCTAATTAAACGAAAAAGATTGCGACTATTACCAATAGCCGCAGCCTTGTCCATCTCTCTACATTTCCCTACCCACCACTTCTCGCGGTCACTCCTCAGACTCTTGATGAGCTAGCGTTTAAAAGATTTGCGCGCTTTGTCGTATCTTGAATCCGATGGAATGGCTTTGCGAGCGTCCATCAGGGCAACCGAGGTTGAGGAGATCCATCGTTTTTGCTTTGATCGTGCGCCAGAGTTCGTCGTTGTTTTGATTGAAATTTGGATCGCTCCCTTGATTGCCGACCAGTGTTGCTTGAGTCCTCCGGTTGATGGTTGAGTTGAGAGGCGATCTGATAATTTCGCTTCAAAGGCCGATTTGCAACTGTCGGTGATAGTGTATTGTGAGCAGCCATTTTCGGTGGCTTTTCTGCGGTTGTTTATTAGGCGTAGGAAGAATCTCGCTCGTAGCAGAGCATAGTCTGTTTACACGGGTGTTGACCAGTAAGAGCGGCAGTCCTCAATGGATCTGTGCCAGTGGTGGTTGATGGCAATGTGGTCAATTTGAGTCCAGCGCTGTGAAGCGGTTGGCGGTCTCCATGTAGGGCGATGTCGGTTCTTGTGCGAGAAGTTCGTGCTTGACAGAAACAGTTCGTGGTCATCGCAAAGTTGGAGTAGGCGTTCTCCGTTGTCATGCGTACGTGGATGCTCTAACTAACTAGCAGACAGTGAAGAGGTCCTCTAGGGACAACCGGGTGAGCCCAGTTAATAAGATTTTGTGTTGTTGTTTGTTGACGAGAACATAGACATCATAGCATAAAACCACTGCTTGACTTTATATCATCGTTTTCTTTCGATGAATTCATTTCATTTTAACGAGTTCAGTCAACATCATTTCAAAAATCATGTTACCACGTTTATTTGTTGCTTAGTTTTAACCACTTAACACCAAAGAACATCAAAAACAGTAGCTCATGATGATGTAGTGACATTTTTGACTACATAGTGTATAGACAGTAGTAACATTGGGATTTCGACTGGGTCTTTTCCGAGTATGACAACCCTGCGACTGCATAGGAGTGTCCTTTTTGGATGGTGGGAAAAAGAGCCAGTTGTGGCCCTTTGACTGACAACTGAGTATACTAAGTCCTGGCTATGGGATCTACCCTTGCTAAAGTAGGGCATGCAACAAAATATGATAAAAACATGAAACAGGTCTAAAAAATTCTCAGTTTGAACAATCATTTCAAACTGTGTAATCGGATATCAGTTGGTAGTAGGATAGGTATGATAACATTCAAAGATCTCGCGGAGTCGCATAAGGATGACAGTATGCAAAATAGAAAAATTGTTAGAGGACCATAGAAGAGAATAGTGAACAATTACCTAATCATATGGATTACTAAGTGATTTGGCACATCTGATTTACCTGGACACTCATGACGTTTGACGCTATTGTCATTATTTTTTTATTANTGAACAGCAGACGGGATAAACCACATAGTCAAGAGGACCTGCTATTCAGTGATGGAAACCGGTAACCTAAGACCCGGGAATGGAGTGGTGAACCACATAAGGTCCCGATAGGTTACGCGTGGATCGCGCGGTATAGCGATGGTTTACGTTTTCCACGCTGCATGGTTATCACCGTTTTCAATCGACCTACTGTTGTTTTACGTGCAGCTTTTAGTTTATCCATTCCGAAAAGACCCAACTATCTAAATGTCAGTGGAACACAACAATGACACGAGTCAAAAGTAGCTCTTAGATTAAGTGTAAAACGACTTTATGCGGTTAAGCTAATCCGACCTAATTTGAAAATCCTACAACATTTAGCTGAAAACTGGTGGTCACACTGTCCCTCGATCTTACCGGGCATCCATTCGACGTGTAGCTCGTTCCAGTCGTTCCTCGAATCGCATTACAGCCAAACGTTCCAGCGATTTGATTGGTTCATGCGTCGCCTTGTCCGTGGGCCAAATAGATTCCAAGCACACTTCCGCCCGTTTATTTAGACCCAAACCCACAGTCGGTTTTTTTTCATCGTCCGGATAGACGACTACTTCACGTCGACGAATGTGCACGATCGCGTCCAAGTCGATGCCAGTGAGATCGGTTAGGCCGGGAAAAAGAATGTGCCCGTAATGCTGTAAAAAGGATGTGCGTGCGTGGTAGGAAAACGATCGAAACAGTTACGTTTCAGCGACAGTGATATCAGGAATTCAATCCTGGTGAAACAATCTCAAGAAAAAGACGCATTTTGAAAGAGAATTAAATTGTCTCAATAAAAACTGAAAACCATATGGCATTATGGTAAATGCCAAGTACTCATAGAGGTTTAGGATTTTCGGTAATGGGGTGCCAAATATGCATTCTTTGGCATCATCTGTTTGTAACAAGCAGTTTTGGTCATCCACCAAAACCCATCAAAACAATTGCACACCAAAAATTTAGTACTAAGTTCTTTTAAGAAATGCAATTATAATAAAAACGGAACTGGGTGGTCTACTTACACGACGACCAATCACAAAGTCTTCAACAATGCATCCGCCCTTCTCGTCCACCATCGAGGCTAACTCTTCTAACGTAGGCAATGTGTAATATCCGGGCTTGGTTAGTTTGATCCCAATAGAATTGGGTGATTTGGGAGGTGATGTCTTGGACCGGTCATCCAAGGCATGAGACGAAACACCGTGAGAACGGCAATCGTTTGGCGTCGTGTCACTACCTCCCATAGGCAAAGTTGCATCGCGTTGCCCATTGGGCGAAGTCCAAGTGGAGTCCAAATCTTCAAGTAAAACAGAATCATCACGACTGCCGGTCTTTAACGCCTCACGCGCTTGGGCTAACCCCAGACCAGATCGACCAGAAGCCATTATACGAATGGCTGGTGTTTGATTAGCATCCTTCAGGCCACCGATGCGAGGAGTTCCAGGTGTAGAAACAGCTGCAGGCACCTGAGAGAACAGAATTTGGTAAGCATTCAGAAACAGACTGTTTCCGTTGTTACGAAGGTATTACGATCACAAAATGAAGTGAACCAGGAACCGTTTCCATCAACCAAAGATGATCACAGAACTAATGATAGAAACTATTTTTTCAAATGATGGTACCAAAAAAATGCTTTCATGCACTTGGAAACCAGTGTTATAGTTCATTTACAAATTGTATAGAGCAATCAGGATTAAACACTTAGCAAATTAGAAAAAATTGATTCAGATAAACAAAAGAATAACTATCGATGTGAATATTTACAAGAGATTTTGTCGAAATCGGATTGGGTGGTAGTCGTTCAGGCCCCGGTTTTTCCGTGCGCACCACAACCGGTGAGGATAGGTCACCAGAGCCCCAATTTCTTCCGGTACCTCTATTTGCGCTGTCGTCCTCCGAGAGTGGATGACGATCTGTATCGATAGCAGCCTCCGCCAGTGTGCTCATTTCCTTAGCTGATGAAGCCGAACGCTCCAGAATGGAGGCTCGAATATTTTCCGGAAGATGCAACCGTTTCCATTCGTCTCGTCGAACAAAAAAGCCACCAATAACTGCTCCAGTTCCATTCCCTGGAGGTTTCGTGCCCAGAATACTGGTATCAAGTCCGCTGCCGTCAGCATTGACGGTGGCCGAACGACGAACACGCATCCCAGACGCGCCGGTCGGACCAGCAGGAGATAGAAGGGCGTCGTCTTCGTAGAAACCAGAGAACAACTGGGAAAAACAATGCACAGGGCGAATTACAAAAAAAGATACAATCAACAAAGACAACAAATATTAACTCGGGTCAACATATTTATACACAACTGGGAATCATGAAGGCAAAGAAATCCTTTATCACCAACAATTGTGTGATGAACAGCCCAGGAAGTTATTATTATTATTATATTTCACACAGCTGACGCCAGACTGTGTACAGAACAAATCAAGGTACAATAATCTTCATAAAAAAAGAAAAACGTTCCATGATTTGCACGTGGCCGAATACTGCCAGGTTGTCAAGAAAGGAAAACTCATGGTCATAAAAGTCAACTGCTCACTAATGATAATAGGAAACCCAAACCTTGAGAATTGAAGCGGCTAATCACGGAAGGCCTCAATAGGATAGGTGTAGTGTTGGGCAGGACGACAGTGAAACCATAAACCACTAAAGTTAGGGGGGGTTGAAACCTGCGTGTGAGGTCCCAAAGCAGGCCAGTGACTGCGGCCTAAATCTCCAGGCAATTGTATTACAGCAATAAAACGTGCCTGTCGTATTTTTACTTTATTACACTGGTTCTCCTAGATAAGCGATGCTTTGCGATGTTTTTTTTCAACTTCATGATCATCAAACTCAAAAGAGAAAGCAGCGGAGAGGTCAAAGAGGCATGACTACAGAATTATTCTGATTCTATTATTACCGTATCAAGCAAAAAGAATAAATTCGTTGCCAAGGGAACCTACAATACACTCCTTTAGTTAACTGATTTGTTGGGTTGAAGCCATGCTCGTCCTTAAACTGGTGTAAAACAATAATATACTACAATGCAGTTCAACCACCAAACGGAAACCTCCTAACTGGAACTTGGAGTGATCAACCGCATATCAGTGATGCTAATCACTAAATTTGAATGATTTACTTAGGAGGTTCGAATCTAGGACTTTGAAAACGGAATTGCTAGTGGTTCGAATGACTACAAAACTTTCGCAGTAATAACGGCTTTAGGAAACAAAACCGATGGGCTCTGGTTGAGAAAAACGAGTCAACAATCCGTAGGAGTTTTGAAGAAAAGGATGGAGGCTAGGATAGAATACCGATAAATTCGATCGGGCAAATAATCCTCTTGCACTTAAGGGCATCTCGAACGGATGTGCACTGGTAGTCGCTCGAGGATCACCCAGTCTCCGATGTACCGTGACCACCGTATTGGGAAATGTGGAATAGAGCGAAAAAAGACAAACAAGGTGCAGGCGTAAAAGGTATGTGTATGTGCTGTACCTTGCTCCGATTGGAGATTTGAAGTAATCGCTGGGTGACAGCTGGTCGACGAAGCCAGACGTTTCGACTGAGTGGAACCCCATTTAGGCCACCTGTACTTGGCGAACCGGAGCCCATAGTTAAACCAGCAGCTTTGTGTCGCT